TACTGTATTTGTGTGATCTGTGTTAAAAACAATGAGAGAAACGTTAACCTTTTTATATGCTTGATGTAGTGTATAATACTGATTTCTAGAGTAATTATAAGAGAATAAGATATGTGATTAATAGCCTAGGATTTTTTTTCCTTTTTTAAGTAAAGTATTTCTTGGACATCTTAAAAAAAACTATATATTTTAATTTTAGGATATGAGCATACCATTTATATGTTTTGCTTAATCTAAAATTAGTGATTTTAGAGAATATGTATATATATGTGTATATATATGTATATATATATATGTATATATATATATGTATATATATATATGTATATATATGTATATATATATATGTATATATATGTATATATATATATATGTATATATATGTATATGTATGTATATATATATGTATATACATATGTATATGTATGTATGTGTATATCAAACTTTACATTTTAATATAAATATTTTTACAATCCTTTTTGGTGTATATGTACATTAGTGTAATTTCATTTCTTCTAGTCTTTATAGATGGTATTTGCCATGTGATTTATTTTTATTGTATTTATTTATACATATTTATTTGCCTTCAAGATATTTAAAACTAAATCACATGTTGCTTTGTTAACAGGCATTCAGCGGATGAGGGTAGTTGTAATGTGATCCATTTTTAAGTGGAATGTTTTGTTGAGAGTGGGCTTTTTGAACTTAACAGAATTGTTTTGAGTGACTAACCTGCTTACCATTATGCTGCCAGAATATGAGTTAGAAACATGATTCACTATTGTGGTATTGTATGCACACAGTGTATTGTAGTTGGCATCATCAGAAAATAGATTAAGTATGGGTTTGTCTTTCTTTGTGAAAGTGGGATTTAACAGATATTGCAAGAACTTATGTATTTATATATATATATATTTATTTTTGTTTGTATTATTAATTTTTTTTCATTTCTTGCAAATTCTAGTTCCGTAAATTTTCTATTTCTTTTTTCTATATATATTTTAGGATCTTACTTGGAATATTATGTAAGGATATATTCTAGACTGATTGATGCATTAGACCTACATTGTTTCAAGAGTTTATTCATACGGGGAAAATACATGAGCATGGTTTGGATAAGTGTGACATTGCACATTTGCTTTTTGAAGAAAATTTTAACTGCCAAATGGATAATTTTGTTTTTATTTATTTTATTTATCTTTTTGTTTCTTTTATTATGTGAATTTATTTGTCTTGTGCATTTTCTTTTAATTCCATGGATTTAGTTCCTTTTTTTTTGTTCATTTGATTTGTTTAATTTTGTTAATTAATTTCATTCTATTCATTTTTGGAATTTTATTAATTTTTGTTCATCATTTGATTCTTTCTTCATTTCTTTCATTTCAGTCAGCCTTCCATTTGTTGAAAATCTTTTGATTTGAAGATGAATTCTATTGCTTATTTTACCATATTTAGGCTCTTAATTTTTCACCTAGGCTTGGAATGCATGAGAGTTTGGCATAGAAAAATCTCTAGTATTTTGGTGAAATTAAAGTTTGCAAACAAATAATGGATTGTGAGTACCTACTTTTATGACAGAGATTCGTATTGCTGTGTGTTTTTGTATTTGTTATTCGTTATTAGTATTTCTGTCTATATATCTATGAATTTATTAATCACTCTCTCTCTCTCCCTCCCTCCTTCCTTCCCTCCTTCCTTCCTTCCTTCCTTCCTTCCTTCCTTCCTTCCTTCCTTCCTTCCTTCCTTCCTTCCTTCCTCCCTCCCTCCCTCCCTCCCTCCCTCCCTCCCTCCCTCTTTCTTTCTTTCTTTCTTTCTTTCTTTCTTTCTTTCTTTCTTTCTTTCTTTCTTTCTTTCTTTCTTTCTTTCTTTCTTTCTTTCTTTCTTTCTTCCATCCATCTTTCCTTCCTTCTTTCCTTCCTTCCCTCTGTGTATCACATTTTCTCTTTCTCTTTCCTCTCCCATCCTTCTCCATTCCCTTCAGACTGATTTCTTCTCTCCTTTTCTATTCTGTCTTTCTTCCCCATGTTCTAAACTACTTTCTTCCTTCTCTTTTCTCTTATATTTGTTTTCTCAAAATTATTGTTACAGAAATATAGTTAAAAGTTACTCCCTTTCAGTAGTTGTATACTAAATAGAATTCACATTATAGATATCATGTTACAGTGAGCAAAGAATAGGTAAGTCATGGCAAGTAATCAGACCCAGGGTCAAACTCATATTTAGTTTCTAAAGGATTGTCTGTACTCTTCCAGACACAAGAATATACAGAGATTGCAAAGGGGAACCCACACTGGCCCCAAGCTTTCTACCCAATGTCCCAGGTGTATCATGTCAGCACAGACAAGATTCTACATGCCCGTTGCACCTGGAATTCAACCAATTGTAAAACTCACACATACATAGGTAATTTTTCTATATACGTGAATGTACTTGTGTCAATATATTATTTGTTCAACATTGTTTTTGTTATCTGGTTTTGAAAGCCATACTTTTGAAACAA